AGCCCATTGTTGGGTTGAGTCAGCTCGTCTATTTGGAAAATAACGAGTTCGTCATGAATTATCCATACTAGTTTTGAGTCAGCAATGGCAAACGATTATTGTTCATAGGTATTGTTCAACGACTGAAAATTGTGAGACACCTGTTCTAACATGGAGGTGCGCCATATTTAAAAAGTCAAAAGATTCTTCATTCATCACTTAAATAAAGCCCCAATGTGGGGCTCCAAGCATAAAACGACAAGGGATAAAGCAATGAACGTTGACTAACCCGTTGTTGGGATGCGACATGCATGTTCCTTTCATTCAGAATCGTATCGACATTTTGAATGCGATCTGACCCATATAATGAATCGCGGGAGCCAGTCCGATGCGCAAATAAATGTTCCAATCCTGATGTCTTGCATGATACGAATTTTACATCCCTGAAGGGTTTGATCACCCGGGGCAGGAGCCGCTTCGAGCTGTGAAGCATATTAAACCATGAAAAAAGTTACCCTCAGTCAAAAACCTCCAGCTAGAGGTTTCCACCTTCTACTGTTGGAGAAAAATATTGAGCCATTTGCTGTGCCAAAAGGAATGGGTGAAAAAAGTCGACAGAAAAAGAAAACTGATAGAGTGGCAGAACCAATCAATTCATCAATCAAAGAAGCTGTGGAAAAAAATATCGATCCGTGGAAATTGAGCAATTTCGGCAAACTTAGTACTTTTAAGGAGTAACAAAAAGCTCTAGCTAGTTCTACACTGTTGATTAATTCTGTGAAAGGATGGTAAGGGACAAAAGGAAGAGAAATTTGAAAAAGGCGAAACAACATTCTCGGTGAAACGATCTACAAATCTATCCGAGAGAGCGCTGCGAAAAAATCCCTATAATGGAAAAAGGTAGGAGTGGGGGGTTGAAACTTCATAAACATCGCCTAGGAGTCAACTTACCCTTTCCCCTATTAGAAGTTTGGTGCTCCTGAGAATTTTTTCTGTTCTGACTCCTTTATTGCCTGTCTTAACCGAAGAAATTAACAGAGGCCTGGGAGGTACTGCAGCAACCGGTTGCGACAGGGTCTGATATTTTGCGTCGCTGGAAACCTTTTTGATAAAAGCGCGGCCCAGCCGACCCTCCAAATTTTCCTCTTCTACTTACACTTCATGTTCCATGGCTACGTACACGCGCGCCCATATGAGTCTTTTCGGCTTCTACCACTTGTTTCGGGGGCAATTTCCTAATATCTTGGGCCGTTTGAGCCATCAAGAGTGGACGGAGGGTGAGATCGCCCACCTAAAGAATACGTGAATCAAACTATGAATAAACAACAAACTGGCCCTAATATGGCAACAATGGAAGAAAATTTTCCGCGACATAGAAGATAAGCTTCCAAGCGTCAAATACGACCCCTTCGGGGATGCAGCTAGCAACGAGCGCTACGTGCTCGATAATTGCGAAATCTACTAGAGAGAGTATTGTAGAATTGAGCTCAACACACTATGAATTTGGATTGGCATTCAAGGATGAACATTAAAAGCAAACACGAAAATAAATAGAGTGGATAGGTGTGAATCAAAATAACAGATTAAATAAAATAACATGAAACTGACTTATAGTTTATTGATTCTTCTAGCCTTTCCAAGATTGAGCAACTTTATTGAAGGCCTACGTTTCGGCGTCTTCGCCTTCGTCAGAGCCTGAAATGGTCAAAAACATTTCGAGACCTGCTCGCTCAAACATTTTCAACATAACTCAGACGATTTCCACAATACCAGTAGACGGTATCGATCTAGGGCGGAACGCTGGCTTACCTTGATCTTGGACGCGTGACGCAGGGACGACCACCCTGTAGAGGCTCAAGCGTGGAGTAAGAATTACTGGTAACCTCCCTCGACCTCTCGGTAGGTCAAAAAACTTGCAGAGGTCGAGAAAGGCTGCGAGCTCACGCGTTATGACCACACACTCCTCCTTGCGATTCATTTGTGGGTCCTTGGCCGTGATCCAAAAAGCCTCCAGTGTCTTGCGCGCCGTGATCTCGACTTCCTGCGCTAAGATGGTCACTGCTACGTCGAATGACGTGCCTCCATGGTGTTGACTACGGTGAACTCCTAGCGGTGTGTGGGCTTGTGACCTCCTAAGACCCTCCAGATGTTCCTTGACCCATACTCGAAGGGTACGGCCTTCTTTATTCGCCATCCAATCAGCTCGGTTTGGCGGTAATAAGAAGATAACTGCGTGACTTCAAGCAAGTCGACTGTTTCAGCAGTCACCAGGTTGCCAAAGGGGCCAGATCACCACACTCAGGTGTTGCAACATAAGGTAATCGTGGGATCGCGGTTGCGAACAGCTGTTAGTTTTAAGATTACAGGGGGGGGGTATTTCCACAATCCTAACATCGTCCTGCAGATCACACCGAACCAATAACGATCGGACTGCCCTGCTTAGGTCTTCGGAAATAAACGGTAAGCAGAAAGGAACTTTATTAGGTGTTGTTGTATTGAGAGTACGGGTCAAGGAACATCTGGAGGGTCTTAGGAGGTCACAAGCCCACACACCGCTAGGAGTTCACCGTAGTCAACACCATGGAGGCACGTCATTCGACGTAGCAGTGACCATCTTAGCGCAGGAAGTCGAGATCACGGCGCGCAAAGACACTGGAGGCTTTTTGGATCACGGCCAAGGACCCACAAATGAATCGCAAGGAAGAGTGTGTGGTCATAACGCGTGAGCTCGCAGCCTTTCTCGACCTCTGCAAGTTTTGACCTACCGAGAGGTCGAGGGAGGTTACCAGTAATTCTTACTCCACGCTTGAGCCTCTACAGGGTGGTCGTCCCTGCGTCACGCGTCCAAGATCAAGGTAAGCCAGCGTTCCGCCCTAGATCGATACCGTTGGGTGATTTACTGGTATGTGGAAATCGTCTTGAGTATTGTTGAAATGTTTGAGCGAGCAGGTCTCGAAATGTTTTTTGACCATTTCAGGCTCTGACGAAGGCGAAGACGCCGAAACGTAGGCCTTCAATAAAGTTGCTCAATCTTGGAAAGGCTAGAAGAAATACAAGAACTATATACATCATGCCAAGAAAGTCGAACATGGACGAAACTGACTTAGGGAAGAAAACGGTGAGTACCACTTGATTCTAGGCTTTGTAATTATGACCCTTGAGAGCGTTCTGCATATTTCAAAGCAAAATCTTTAAAAGCCATTGAATGTTGCGCAATGGTAGCCCAGCATATTGATCATCATGAAGTTTAGAAAGAGCACCAAATTAAATTACAGTTGAGCATTTCCCAGTAAACTGATTAGTTCAATAAATTCAAGAAGTAAATAGTTTACCTCATCCAGAGCCAAACAAACACCAAGTACAGTGCAAAGAATCGCCACATTCATGCGCCGAGCCATTTCAGTCAAGCAGGGGCGATTTCCGTCCAATGGCCAAGCCTTGAACGAGTGAGGAATTGTTTATGCAGGCGAAACATCGACCAGCAACAAAAACGATGGACATATTCACATCACACGATGACAGCGAAAGTACAAGGGATTAAAGAGTTAGACAAGGGCGATAAGAACCTACAAGGGGGCATTCGTCAGCTGATTGCTTATGCGATATTTGCAGGGTGACCGATGAATAATCACATCGCATACTTCGAAAACACAGAGAGCGATAGAATTTTATTACAAATAAATTTAATTTTTTCTTCGTTCAATGCACTCGAGACCAATCAAAATTGCTTATGCTTACTTGTGTTTATTAAAATTAAACATTTATTTATGTATACACTCGAACCTTCAAATCACGGTCACTTTCAAAGTTGAAAGAGCAGGCTGCCAGGCTGCAGGGACTATATAAGTGGGCTCATCGCGCCTGTAGAGGATGCTTGTTTCAGGGAGCAAATTGCACGGGGATCTCGGCTCGGGGTCCGGCTCAGTTCGGTCAGCCGGGCCAATAAAAAAAGGACGAACAAATCTTCCAAAGAAGAAAACAGTCCGAAGAGAATAATGTTGGTGGTTGTTTCGCCTCTCATCCACATGGACCACTTCTGCTGTGCCCCCCGCCCCTCCCCCCCCCCCATCTGAGAATCACCAATACATAGGAGGAGGGGAAATGACTAACGAACTGGGAAAAGGAATTATAAAAGGCGTGTGCTTCCAAAATGGATCAAAACTGCATGAAACTAACCCATACATCTTACCTAAAACTGCTAGTAATAGAAAGCGATGCACCTGGTACTAGGTTTACGGGAAGCTCGGGACCAATTCACAAGAAAGGAGGATATGACATTGGTATTGCATTCACTAAGCACGATGTTGTTGGAGGAAAGGAGAAATAGAAGGAATAAAAAAATCTTTAAAGATGAGATGAAGAAAAAAATAGGAAGCAAAAAAATTGAGTATGAAAGATGAGTCAGAATATATCAAATATCAGATAAAGCAAAATTCAAGATATTAACACGTTGACGACGAGCCGTTTTTTTCATGAATTGCCCATGGGACGGCGCATTTCTCTTCGTAGAAACTTAGTAATTTTTGGATAAATGAACGGCTACGGCCAAAATGTTCCAAGAAATGCAGAAATTTAGAATGCGGTCTCAATCCTTGACACGATTTAGCTTTTATTGCTCCAGTCTTCCGACATCAGTCCAGTTTTTACCAATTTTTACAGCAAATTTGGTTGGAAATTTCTCTCCATAGAAAGTTTACCTTCTGAGGATGAATATTACATCCGCTCGGCTCAAAACTGCTTGGCGCGTGCAATAGGCGCTACATTGACGGTAGTTTTTCGCCATTTCTTGCATGACTTGTGCCTCAAACTGTCTGGCGCCCGCGCCCTAGACGCTACCTTGACAAAGCTCTATTTTTTATGGCTTGCATTTGGAAGTGCCCTTTTACTCTTCGTTGAAACGGTGCAACCAACGCAGGGGAACGCATGCCTTATCGATCGCGTCGAGCGCGCGAATCGATCGCGGAGTCTGAACGCTGCCTAAAGGATATCGAAGTAGGAACTCCGCAAGTACCATCATCCTTATGAGTGATCTTGTCACCATGAGCGTTCCTTATGCTGACATCGACGAACTCAACGAAACTTTCGATGAGTTGCTGCTTGACAGCGACGCTGAAGTTCCCGATGGTGTGGATGCTGATGACATGACTCCTGCCGTTGTCCCTGATACTGAAGCTGATGAATCCGATTCCGACGTGTCAGATTACGACAGCAACGACGAAGAAGAGGAAAACACTTGGAGGAACGATGCTCAAGAACATGAGAGATGGACCTTCAGCGAGTCTGTTGGAGCTGCTCCAGAGGTGGACAACTGTGAGACGCCGCTCCAGTTTTATGAGTTGTTCTTCTCAGAAGAACTCCTTACCATGATAGCTGATCAGACTAACGTCTACGCTCAAGAAAAGCGACGTAATTGGATTCACACGGACTCAGATGAACTGAGAATATTCTTCGGCCTCTGCATGCAGATGTCCCGCTGTCCATTCGATAACCAGCGAAATTACTGGTCGCTGAAACCTCGGAATTTGGCTAGAAATGGGCATTCGATTGCCGGAGATTTTATGACCAGAGATCGATTTGAGGAGATTCAGAGGCATCTTCACTTTGTCGACAACAGTGCTGCCGAAAAGACCAACAAGCTTTATAAAGTGCAGCCTGTTCTTGACTATCTGAACAGCCGATTTCAAGCCATGTACAGACCTGAGAGGGAGCTGTGCATCGACGAGTCTATGGTGCCATTCAGAGGTCGTGTTTCCTTTTGGCAGTACAATGGAAGAAAACGTCATCGATTTGGAATAAAGCTGTTCAAGCTTTGCTCCCGTGCCGGCTACACTCAAAAGGTCAAGGTTTATGCAGGAAGAGATCCAAAAAGGACAGCCAGTGTGGCAGAGGCCGTAGTGCTAGAATTGATGGACGGTTTTCTGATGCAGGGACGTTGCCTATGCACCGATAACTGGTACACCAGTCTACCACTCGCTCATACTCTTCTCAGGAAAAAAACAGACATGGTGGGGACAATCGCAAGAAATCGCAAGGGTATCCCTCAGATCCTTAGAGACAAGAAACTTCAGAGAGGAGAGTTCATTTACCAGCAGAACCTAAAAGGAGTGCTAGTTCTGAAATGGAGGGACAAGAGGGATATACATATGATGTCTACCAAGCACGATGCTGGTCTTCACCCAAACGGCAAGCCTTTGGTTGTTGTCGACTACAACAAGATGAAGGGATTCGTGGACCTGAGCGACCAGATGGCTGCCTATACGCCGTTTGTGAGGAAAACATCTAAATGGTATATTCGGTTGTTCTTTCATCTCTTGACGCAGACCGCCTTAGTCAACGCCTGGTTTTTGTATTGCGAGAAGATCAAGAAAATTAAAATCAATCACTTCAAGGAGTTGATTGTGGACGACTTGTTGTACCAGAACTTGAACAACATAACTAGCAGCTCAAGGTCACGCAAGCGCAAGCTAATATCTGACCCAAATGCGAAAGCTAAAAACAGACGACTTTGCTCCGACTGTTACAGCTCAATCTCTGCAACTGCTGGCAGATCGACGGCTAGGAAACTGGCTAAGAAGACCAAGTCAAAATGCA